GGGGGAGACGAGGAATGTGTATAGGATATTGGTGGGAAAGCCAGAAGGAAAGAGACCACAGGGAAGACCAAGGCATAGGTGGGTGGACAATATTAGAATGGATCTTAGAGAGATAGGATGGGATGGTATGGATTCGATACATCTGGCTCAGGATAGGGACCAGTGGAGGGCTCTTGTGAACATGGTGATGAACCTTCAGGTTTCATAAAAGGCTGGGAAATTCTTGAGTAGCTGCAGAATTTGCGGCTCCTCAAGAAGGGCTCAGCTCCATGAGTAAGTAAGTAAGAATCAGTAATAACAAGGTAGCAAACGTCTGAACTTGTGATATGAAGTGACAATTTATGGTCCTGAAATTGGAACTTATATAACTTCTCTTCAGATAATTTCATCGTGGAATGTAAAATTACAGCATGCACCATGAGAAGATGCTAACTTCTAGCTTGATGGCAATAACTAACAAACTAATAGAGAAACTTGATGAGGTGATTCTTATACACTGCATACATACCTGCACATTAAGTATGAAATATTTGTTTTGGAATGGCAACAGTTTGACAGTTTGAGGTTATACCCAGCAGATTTAACATGTTGGCCTTTAGAATCTGTAATTATGTAATTATATCTTCACAGACAAAATAAAACACCAGTAATAATAGCACTACTTTGTAGGACCTGAATTGTATGCATTAGGAAAGCAGGCTTTATGATTTCTATTCAGGACTCTTTAGTGTTGTATGATCACTATTTTTCACCATACTATATATATGAGGAGGCCGGTCACGGTAGCCGAGCGGTCTAAGGCATGCACTGTCTTCGCTCGCTCGTAAGCCGGGATTGTGGGTTCGAATCCCACTCAGGGCATGGATGTTTGTGTACGTTTTTCTATGTTTGTCTACAGGTAGAGGCCTTGTGACGAGCTGATCACTCGCCCAAGGAGTCCTACCGTATGTGTAAGATCTAGAAAAACCAAAGTGAACGGAGAAGTTCATGGAGGTAGGCCTAGGCCCACTGGGGCTGTAGTGCCAAGGGAAAAAAAAATATATATGAGGAACACTAAATGATATACAGTAGAAGTTCAATCTTTATTACAGTTCCAGTGCCATTTGTATCCAGGCAGTAGTCAGTGGTCTTCCAAAGGTTCAGTATGCTGTCAAAACAAATAGGAAAAAACATGCTGTCACCAGTGTGGGATGTCGATACTTAGTGAGACAACCACATAACTATAACAATAAATGTTCACTGCACCTAAAGCGGGGAGCGTGCCTGAATAAAGTTGGCGGAGACTCCTTTGGTAGTGGCTAGTATGGTCCGGTGATGACGGTGCCAAGTGCAGGCCCTTAAGGGCCGTTTGTCTAGCTGCATCTTCCTTGCGGGAGCCTGATATTCTTCTCTTGCTGTCCCTGTGTCTTCCTTGTAGCAGCCCATGTTCTTCCTTGTTGCCGCTTGGTGGTTGCGAGTGGATGGGATAGAAGCGAGTGTAGCGAGTCTGACTGGCTACCAGAGTCACAGTGCATATGCTGGCAGAGTAGGCTGTCTATGGAACGTGCACTGGCAGAGTCGGTATGGTGCTTGCAGTTGTGTTGAGCTCTTGCTGGCAGTGTATCCCTAACTGATGCTGGCATGTCTGAGGTCCGCAACTTTGTACTTATGCTGCTAGGTGGTGCGTGGACCAGTTGGCAGTGGAGCTGCGATTATGGATGCTGATTGGATAACGCTTGTGTTGGTGTCTAGAGAGCCAGGCTGCAAAGTGTGATGTATAAATATTGCTTCATCCTGTTAGGTTGTGAGAGTAGTCTGTTGTCTGTTAGACTGAAGTTGTGTTAGAATGTGGGAGGTTCCCACACCAGACAGTAGTACAGAATAATGAAATCTATTGTAATGTGTGAAGTATGTCTGTTATATATTTCTTCACAGTTTAACAATGTTTTATCAACAGCAAACATTATTTAATATAAGGTAAGAAGTGGCTGTTTCTAAATTGTGAATTGGAATATTGAAGATCTTGGTCTGCTTTAGTTCGTATCCTGACATGTATGACTGAGGAAATGTTTATTTCAAAATTGTTTATGTGGTAATCATGCTCACTGTGACCATGGTCTGCTACCAGATGATAAAGCAGCTGAATATGGCTGAATTATTTAACTTTCAAGAACATTAATTAATGCTGACCAGCACTGTTATTTATGTTTTCAGTAACTTTTGTATTTATATTGTAATGATTTAGGGCTATGACTATAGATTGGGTATGGATTGGTGAATGGATTCATTGATGACTTATACACGCTGCTTGGACTACAAGTAATTATGGCACTGTCATTAAATCTCCACACTTTACAAATCACTAGCCCATACAAAGTCTTCTCAATCTTCTCAGTCTTCAATAGTCATATCCTAGCAACAAATTTTATAACAGTCTCACTGTAACAACAGCACACGTAAAGTCTTTTTTTCAAGAGCTGCACTCTTGTACTAACTCTTTTCTTAGGCCGTGCCATAGGTCAAGCGGTTAGTCGCTGGCTTCCCATTGCAGTGGCCCAGGTTCCATCCTGGGTCTGGTCAAGTGGGATTTGTGGTGGACAAAGTGGCACTGGGGCAGGTTTTCTCTGAGTACTTTGGTTCCCCCTGCCAGTCTTCATTCCACCAATTGCTCCACAATCACCCTCACCTATCATCTGGGGATGGTACAATAGGCCAGAAGTGGCCGCAGTACAAGGGACTTAGTCCCACCCCACTAGTACTTAAAAAGAAAACTCTTTTCTTCACAGCTGAACTTTCAACATTCAGCTAACTGGATTGCCATTTCTTCTTAGCCTCCCTTTCAGAGCTAAACTGAACTGCCAACCCTCAACTAACTTATAACACCATCATCTCAGCCTCCCTTGCTGAGCTAAACTGAACTGCCAACCCTCAACTAACTTACAGCACCATCTTCTCAGCCTCCCTTGCAGAGCTAAACTGAACTGTCACTGGATTGCCACAATTGTCTTCTTTATAATCACTTTGCATGGATGCTACATATAGGCTGGTTTTGTACTGTGCATAGTTTATATTTGTATTAAACTATGGCATTAACATACAAAATGTTTGCATGGATTTATGGGAAAATAAAATACATAAATAAAGAAAGACTGAATAGAGAGCAGTATTTTGAACAACAACCCTATTGTTTAGATGCATGCTTACCAATCCTTTGCTTAGAGATGGGTTGCATAACCCCGTTGTTCTAGTGCTGCATGCGTGTATGTTTCAGGCATTACCTAGCAATGGCCACTGTTTACAGAGTCACCATTTAGCAATGGGTCTGTATGGCATAATATTCAACACTAGGCTTGTAAATTGTTGTTCATATATCCCCCCACCCCCCAAAAAAAAAAAAAAAAACAGCATCAAGGAATAAAATCAGTACAAAATGTATAAACTGAAAATGGTAAGAAATTTATTCTGGAATGCAGATATATGCAGAGTTCTACCCATCTAACTACCCCAGCCAACCTCTGTACTTCCTTTCATATTTGCAGTAGGATGCAATATATTATCAATATGAGACTAAGAAAAATGCACTTAAGACTAAATGTAATGGATCTGTGTTAACATAGGCAGATTGCAGTGAAACTAGAATATGACACACAGTATGTGAAACAAGAACAGATGGGACCATTGTGATCCAGTATTATTGGTAGGTTACAGACAGAAGAGAAAATGGCATTAAACAGAGTACAGAAGTACAGTGAGGAATCTGGTTGAAAGTAAATAATAAATTACAATTAAATATTCTTCAGCAGTCTATCTCTGCACAAAATTTTAAGATCATACATTTTATAGTTGCTTTTCATAAGGAATTTGCATGGTTACTGTGTATTTTTATGGTAGAGGATTACACTTGATGTTGATGGTGTAGGTAATACTAGGTCTGCCACAGTCTGCTATGGATGCTACATATAGGCTGGCTTTGTACTGTGCTTAGTTTATATATGTATTAAACTGTGGCACTAACATACAAAATGTTTGATTTTTAAGTACTCATGCTTCCTATTTTGGGTACAAATTTTATTTCTGTGACTTAGTATTAGCATCTAAACCATTCAGCAGACTGTTTTTAAAATTAATATGGGAGAATTTCACTAAGAGTTGTGGGGCAGTTCCATCTTTCAGCTTATTGATCTGTAATAAAGGAAGTGCTGCAAATGGACTTTCTTTATGTTCATCATGAACTATTACTCAAATTCTGTTGAAATTTGATATGAAGGATCTTGGCATAATGCCAATCATTTTGATTTTTAGTCATTTGATTAATTACATAGCCTACCTTAAGAGCTGTACATCCACTCATGCATGTATTCAAGATGTAGTGCTTAATTAAATAAGCACTGAGTCAGCTTTACCTTTACTGTACATTACACCATAAGCAAACCTTTCCATATATTCCATAAGCTATTACATAGATTATCTTGAAATATGATGTTGTGCATTATTATGCTGTATACTTTGCTCACTTATGGCCCCTCCCCCCCAAATGCTGGTTATAACAGGCCACAAGTAAGCTTAATAAACTGCAAAGAATGATGTTGGGAACTCTGTATACTACATTACAGAGTACACTTTTCCAGTTTTGTTTACAAACAGCCTGGCAGGTCTTGCACCGACTGTAGTGCTTGGTATAGCAAGGCTAGATCTGAGAGTGATCTTCATTGGTAGTTTCATGAAAAGTGGTCAGCTGGTTCAGAATTTATCACTAGGATATTCTATCTCTGTCACACACACAAATGACAGATATGAGACAAGGCTAGTAAGTTCCGTTGTTACAGGACCCAGTGATAAACAGAACAGATGCATTCAGTATTTTGTTACTGGAAGTACCTAGACTCCCAAGATTCCAAAAGAGTTTCATTTATTAATTTTAAAATATTCTGACTATAGGCAATTGCCATATTCCGGTGGTGTGGAATGCAGATGTTCAGCAAGAAGGTAGAAGACTACCTGTCATTGTCTTCTCACATGGCCTTGGTACATCACGTTTCTTTTATTCTACCGTCTGTACAGAGCTAGCATCCCATGGCTTTGTGGTAGCAGCAGTTGAACACAGGTGAGCATGAGTTAGTCAGGTATTTGTAGTTCAAATCTTGTACCGATTCATGGTGTTCATACATTTCTGAATTGACCAGGGGTTCTGCATATTCAGATGAGATGCTTGTTCTGCCAGCCAGAGGATTGATGAGAGGTTATCTGTTGGCCAGTTCTGTTATGTATATTTTGTTTAGCTTTATCAATATGAAAGCTTGTTCACAAATGCAAGTGCTTCCAGACAACCTTATATAAACAGCTGTCTTTTGCCACAGATATGGATATTTGTCTAAGTTGTGCTTTCTTTGCATTTAGATATCAGTTCATTGTTGCAGTGTAGTTCAGATACTTTGAGCTGTAAAGTGGGTTCAGCATCTGATGTAGTGCTTAAGAAGGGTTAGCAAATGTGCTAAGTAATGCTCTATCCTGATTGAAGTCCACATATCTGCCTGTAATTGGNTCTTTGCTTGCAGATTTCTTATATATTTTTTTCTTCTACCCTGAAGATGGAGGCGATACGTTCCTCCGAAACGTCGGTTAACACCACATATACACGGTGCAAAATCCCAGAAGACTGCTTTCTTCATAGTCACCGCCGTGAAAGCCCCAAATCTTACACAATGCTCTATCCTGATTGAAGTCCACATATCTGCCTGTAATTGACTGTTTGTGTGACCCAGTGTGTCTGACATACCCTTATTAATCTTACACTGTTTAATTATTTTATGACAGTTTGTAAAGTGATAAATGTAAAAAAAAAAGTAAGGCTATCCCTGTAACAGGCCATGAAGGCCCATAGGGTTGTGAGACGTTGAGGGTCCCACATTATCTAGACAATCAGCTCAAAGATGGCGGTAAGGTTGTCAGCCTTACGTGTCGGCCACGCTTTACTCCCCAGGAAAATGATTTAATTAATTCATGGTCCTCATTTCTGTTAGAGGCTGAGTCAACCCCAGGGCCATAGTGCAGCTGGAAGGGTTAGGTCAGTTGAAAAAATCCAGTGACCTCATCGGAACTTGAACCTGTGACCTTCCGGCTTGTAGCATACTGCCTCAATCAACTACACTACTGCGTTCCCCTGTGTTATTTATTTAATTTGAAAGGCTAATAGATTGTTATACAGTTTACTTACAAATTGGCATTTCCCTTGCAGCTTGTTGTATTGGTTATTCAGTTGCCGACAGATATCTGTCAAGAAGGACAGATCATTTATCCAACTTCTGGCATCTTCAAAGGGAGTAGTGATTGGTTGTCCTTTTTCAATAAGAAAAACTTTATTCTCTCACAGCAGTGATAGAGAACATTGCAGAACCTTACTTTTGCTAAACCAGTGAACTTCAGAGTGGTACACAGTGTCAATATATTCACTTTGATTTTGAAAGGAACACTTCAACTTGTCTGTGGTTTAGCCTGCATGACCAAATTGGCAAAGTTCTGGAATTTAAACAAATTACAATATCATATATTGTTTAAATCTCAGAACTTTGCCAATTTGGTTTTGTTGATGGGTAATGCGATGATACCTAACTCATTCATATGCTTGTAAAGAAGAGACACTATACCATGTTAGAGCCTTCTGCCCTTTGTTCTTGAAGTATGCCATTTTATCCTAACTTTCACTTCTTAATTTTACTTTTGCCAGTCATAGATGTTATTTAAATAGTGAATGATTTCGTGCAGGATGCACAACTTTAGTACTTACTACATCACAGCATAGTGCTATAGCATTCTACATGTGCTTTCCTTAACAACGAAGCTCACAGTGCAAAGAACCAAAAGAACATTTGACAGGCCATGGATTATTATCACTGTATTATGTCATGTTATTGTGATGATTTTTACTAGCAAAGAAGAGTTCTGTCTCCTGGGATATAATATCATGTAGTCCATTGAAAGTCAACTGACATTTTGGGGGAACATTTCACATCCATCTTCAAGGTCAAAGAATAAGACAAGCAATAGACCAGAGTGAAAGCAGGTGGCAAGCAGATCAAAGTTGAGCATAGTTACATCCATGTTGTAATCAGTTAGCTAATCTGTTTTCAAATGATGTTGCATCAGCTTTGAAGATTACTTACAATTGATATTTCCAGGCAGAAGGCATGCACAGTTGAGAATTTAGATAGAAACTATAACAATAGGAACATGTATATTCTATCAGATAGTCAAGCTGCAATTAAAGCACTTGGTACACACCAAATCACTTCAAAATTTGTTTGGGACTGCCACCAGTCCCTCATACAACTGGCCAGACATAACAGAATTCAGCTGATATGGGTGCCAGGCCATGAGGGTATTGCTGGGAATGAAACGGCAGATCTGCTGACAAGAACAGGATCTGAACAGCCATTCATATGACCTGAACCAGCTTGCGGCATCTCAGTTGGAGTTGCCAAGAAAGCGATCAGGGACTGGACTAACAGAAATCACAAAAAACACTGGGAATCCACACTTGGACTCAAACGGGCAAAGGGATTTATATCAGGATTTAAACAGAGATCAGTTAAAATTTAATGACAGAAGTGCCCCGATTGGGCCAGTGATGAGTATGGTCATCGTGGCCAAAGTACCCCGATTTGGCCAGTAAGGCATTTAAACTCCGCTAGTGGAAGCATGCGCACTCACCACTAGTAGAAGTGCATGCACAGTCAAAAATATTTATTTTTAAATGTAGTAATTACCAGACAGACTTGAGTAAAACCATAATGGAGGAATTAAAATGATACCTAAGTGAACAACTACAAAAAAGAGTATACATATGAGTTATGCCCAGACTTATCGACAAGCCAGTACTTTTAATGAAGATTCTGCAGATTAATCAGTTACNCCTCTAGCTCTTTCTTCAATAGCCATGCTTTCATTTTTCTGTCCTTTAGTCAAAAGATTCGAAAATCTGAAAGTGTAACAAAGAATTGAAAATTGCCAGAAGACCAAATGATTTTATTGCTTCCATCTGTTTTATGATACCAGGGACTGCTAAAATATGTCAAGTGTTATGAGCACGACTGATTTCATAATGCAGAACAACTCTGTGAAGAAATTGCAAAACTTTTTTTACAGTACACATCAAAATTAAAAGAAAAAAAATTCAATATAGAGTATAACTCTTTGTATAAAAATTTGCAGATATTATGTTACAATATGCGACACTATATTCTTTGCTGATACAAACAAAGTCAATTCCATCCATTTATCATAAAAATTGTGTTAGATACAGCATTTTTAAACACAATGCTTAAAATTGTTTAAGTGCTCTAACAGGAACGGACATTTAAACACAGAGCAGCAGCGGGCATTAAAATAGACTCTGGTCAGCTCAAGCTTACCATCATTTCAAAAGTCCGGTATTTAAAGGTTAAGATGGGTGGTAGGATTACTTACTGGACACTGCCACCTAAGAGGACACCATTTCAAACTGGGACTTACAGATGACCCAGTCTGTGAAAGGTGCCTACAAGAAGACAAATCAGCCACATATATGTTATGTGATTGTAAGGCCATAGCTTACCTAAGATTTCATCACCTGGGGCAGTTCTTCATGGAACCAAGTGACTTTTATGACGCCCCCATAAATAAAGTCCTTCATTTCATTCGAAGTGTAGGATTAATAAAGGGTTAATCCAAAAGGGAAGCACAATAAGTCATTGAAGGTCCCAGTGCGAGGATCGGGTTTTGTGGCCACCCCTTACACATACATACAATTGATAGTGACGATGGATGCAGAATGGAGGTACTGGATAGTAAGAATGACAGGGAACTAAATTGGACATAGTTCACATAATGCATGGCCCCAAGACCACATGTTTAGCTGAACAGAATTATACTCGTATACCAAAACAACAGGTGATCTGTATGCCACTGTCGATGCAAAAGATGCAACAATTGGGCTTCACCCAAAGTTTTGACTATATTGTCCCAAACTGTGACTAACTGTGGATTAAGATCTATTTTTGACTTCCTGAACAATGAATACCTAAAATATTGCACCCTTTTCAAGGGGAGGATGATATTAAAAACTTGCATATCAAGGAGAAATATGTATTTTAGAATAAAACTATATAAATTACGCTGCATCACTGGCTGCACATATGATATGGATGTCTACTTAGGAAAGGACAGGACATGAGTGACTACAGACGTGACAGCAACTAGTGCAGTCCTAAAACAACTGACAGTAAAAGCAGAGGGACATGGATGTAAGCTAAATATGGGAAACTTAGTTCTGTCGCCTGACTTATTCAGCAGTCTGACAAAAAAGAAATTTAGTTGTTGCAGGGCAGTCAGACCTAACAGAAAAGAATGCCACAGAGCTGTGCTTGCTGTCAGCTTGTTGGCTTACTCTTCAACCCTGAAGACGAAGGCAGTATGTTCATCCAAAACTTTGGACTTCTTCCAGACTACATTGAATTACATCCCAGAGGAAAGTATCCATAAACATTTCTCTTGCATGTTTCCTGAAGGGAAATCCAGAATTATACCAAGGAAACCTGCCTATGGTCTGCCAGGCCAAGTGCAGGTACAATATGAAGACCATGGTCAGCCAGGCTTTTGAAGGTTAATATTCTGTAGTGACAATATGGACAATATGGAATAGCATCATAAGTTCTCCTCAGAGATAATCTGACACAATCTCTGATTAACCAGACTGTATTAAATGCATATTTGTTTCCATTGCTTTTTATTTGTATACTTAGGGATAACTCAGCTTCTGCTTCATACTATTACAAATCGAAGGATACACGTGCCAGTGCTACACCTTTCTGGATAAAGTTTAAAGTGATAGGTCAGGGACCTGGGCACTACCCAGCAAGAAAAAAGCAGGTAAATATTATCAGTCATCTGATATACTCTCATACATATGAATGAAAAAACTTGCTGTGGGTTACTGTAACATGTAACTTCAGTAGTAATATACTCCATTTAATTCTTTGATTTCAGTCTTATGTTTGCATCTAGAATTTTCTAAAAAAAAAACAGTAAGTAATTAAAACTAAATACCTTTAGTCTTTAATAATACAGGGAGTGGTCTTATAATATGTGAAAAAAAGGAGCTGTTGCTACGTGCTCAGAAATATATTACACAGATCTACTGTAAATGTCAAAAAAAGAGAGAGCTTTCAAATTTTGAATAGTTATTTGTTGGCCCCATTGGACTTTATAGTATTACAAAAGATAAAACAATTCTGTCCAGTGTGACTGGCAAAGTTTTTCTTACTTCAATTCTTAACACCCTTACATGTTTCGGTCCTTAGAGACCATCATCAGAGAGACATCGATACTGTTTGGAAACCACTATTACAATGGGTGTTCTGAATGTTAAAATATATATACAGGGTGGGGCGCAGAAACTTCCTTTTTGTGAAGACGCATTGTGAAGGGAGGGGAAATTGCAGAAAAGTGGGGATAGGCTCGGCAAACGCAGCAGTCGTGGAAGTTTCTGTCTAATACTCCTCAGTAGGAAACATGAGGTGGACGAGTGAGCAGTGTGCGTTTGCTGTCAAAGCCTATTTTTCGAACAACCATTCCTATGTGGCAGTACAGCATGCATTCCGTACTCACTTCAGAATTAAGCCCAGAGGTCCGGTTCCTGACCAGAAATCGATTGTTTTGTGGGTAGAGAACTTTAGGACAACCGGGAGTGTGGTGAAAAAATCATCAGGACGACAACGGACCGTTACAACGCCAGAAAATGTGGAGGCAGTTCGACAGTCGATTTTGAGAT